CACAACCCTCTTTACTGTGCACTGGAAACACACATTCCAGCTCCTGCGACTCTGAACAAAGCTGCAAAGAGCAAATCACAGCAGTGTGCTGTATCCCCATCTCAGGTCCTCTAGGCAGCAATTATAGAAAACGTTTCTGTTATCGCCACATTTCAAAGCCAGAGTATGGCCATGCTGATGTGTGGCTCTAAACCCAGTGGAGCTTGATCTATTAAATGCATAAAGGGGTCTGTGTGTCAAAGGAGTCTGGTCTAATCAGGGGACAGAAACCACAAACTTACAAATTCGAAACCAAGATTTCTTCAGCTATTTGACCAACAATTCAGAGCAAATCCATACATTTTAAATTTCACACTCTAACAGGAATACATAGCAATACTCCTTTCAGAGGTGTTGCATTGATTAATAAGCTTGTCACCGAGGATGGAAATTGCTACATAAGTGTTAAGCACTGGTTAACTAATGAAAGACAATTCCATACATTCTGGTGGAATCTAGAGAACTTCAGCAAAAATTATTAGTTTCATTTGCATTTGTACTCCGTCTGACAACAGTGATCAAGCTGGTGAAAGTTATTTCAAATTTTTATGCTCCATGACTGCGGAAAAAATTAGAGAGAAAATTCTGGCTCATAAGGCAGAATCGTGCCTGCTGAAAAATCTCTAATTTCTGAAATATATAAAGAGCACAAACAACTATTTCTCTCATCAAATATGCATACACCTCAGTGATATTCAGCTTAATAACTGTGCAAAGAAGGAGCAGTGTCGATGAATTTAAAGTACAGAACAACATTCGGCAGGGAAACTGCTAATGCCTTCCATTTTAGTTACATGCCCTCGTTAAGGGCTCAAGCTTCCTGCCAAACTAGAAAACATCTGTTTTAGCAACTTCCAGCTCTGTTCTTCTGTGATTCACCTTCAATGCCACATCACCAATGTGAAATACTATGGACCACCTGAGACTTTATTGGCACATGGCTATGGGCACTGCTTTTGGATTCTCAGAAATCAAACTATGCTTTTCCTCAAAAAAACCAATTGGATTGATCTCTGTATCTCTAAATTGTATCATCCTTTCTATGAACATTTCCTGTGACAGAGTTTTGGATTAGAAACTTCATCTTTAAACTTCCATTTCTATGCCATTGTCATAAACCCATGGATTTTCTTGATCAGATTTGTAAACAAACAAACAAAAGCAGCAGAGCAAGACTGGCAGCTTCTGCCTCCAGGACTTCCAGAGAAGAAGCCTGCTGAGCTTGTGAGCTAGCAGATGGTAGGCTGCAAGAATTTCAAGAACAGTATACTTCTCTGACACTGGCCTACTCTGCGGTGAAGCAAATAATTTTACCCCCAGATCTTTCCCCTTTTTGTTTTTCTGGGTCAATGCTGTCTCTTAACTGATTATGGTACTGCATCTCCCAGGACAATGGGGTTCAATTGGCCCTATGTGCTGTTAGAGCATGGTTTTCTCTCTGTTTCCTTTGTTCTAGCCAACCATTTAGATATGGAGAGAGATGTAGCTCTCTTTTCATTATAGTTCTATGGAAAGAAAAAGGGAAAAAAAACACTCAACAGGCCTAACTTCCTGACTTATTTGCACATGCCCATTTTGTCAAGGGATGTGCTGTGTATCTACTGTGAATTGCTGAAAATGTAAGGTAGCTGTGAAACACAATGTTCTTGTGCTTACCAGCCCTTTGCCTTTAAAAGATCTGTAGCCTAAACAGGCAACTTTAAGAACTCTCCCAACTCAGTTGTAATCAAGATACCATCTACTTAAATAAGCATTTGTACTCCCAGTGATTTTAGGAGATGAATTACTGATCTTATTACCATAGTAAATACCCTCGAGGCAATGTACAGGCCAACAGAATATTGCTTTCTGCTGGTACAGCACCCATTTTCAGGAGAACTCTAGGAGTATTTCTAGTCATGTGGTAATAATAGAAGATTTGCTTAGACTATATTTGCCAGAAAGTCCTATTTGCAGAAGTGGCTTTTAAATCTTTGACACTGTTCATGGGAAACAGCTTGTCAGCTATGAAAATATTTCTACCAGCTCCTGTATATCAGCCTTACCACTGGGAAAAAGAGATTTTTCAGGTGGCATAGCCCAATAGCAAGCAGATAAACTTTTCAGCTGATAGGGTGAGTGGCAGAGTAGCATTACCTGGATAGGCAAAGGTGGTTTTTGCCTGCCAGCAGTGCAGCCTGCAGTGCCCTTTGAGGACAGCTCTGTGTCCAGGCAGGCAGCAGGAGCCAGAGGACAGGGAGTGATGGTGTGTGGGAGGCCTCGAGCTCAAGCACACTCCATTTATTTATCACCAAACTGTCGTCTGGTCAATAGGAAAAGTTGATAAAACTGTTACCTTCGGGGCTCTGTTCTCCTTGGGAATAACGAAAAGGTGAAGCTGGTTAAGGTCAGTGCACAGGAGGCCCTATTGAAGGTGGCCATGAATTACTGAGCATCATCTGGCATCACAGATAAGCAGAATGGGTAAGAGACTAGGCAGGCTCTACAATAAGGGATGGATTTAATTAACAATTGCACAGAGGGAGCAGACCGTAGCATTCTGGCACGAGGACATCCTACATCTGACAGTTGCTTAAAGAGACAGGGAGCACCCTATTATAAAAAATATATTACTCCTCAATGTATTTTAAAAATTACATGAGAAACAATAACATATTGTATTACCCCTTCTCTCCAGAGCTGCCTGATTACACCAGCACTGAGCACCGCAGGCTCTCTGCAGATATTCTGCACTGGGGCCTATTTAAAAACATCAGTCCAAACTTGGTTGCAAAAGTACAACACTGCTGAAGTCAGGGGGTTGTGCAGATGTAACTAAAGGCAGATGTTGATCCATATTAACTAAACTATTAAATGCATCAATCTTACCCAACCATCTGACACCTTGTCCTACTTCCCAATATTTTGTTTCCCAAAAGTTTATTTAAATTCAGACAGCTGACAATTTGCAAGCTTCTGGGTAACCCTTTTTTTATAATTTCTTGCTTTCTACCCCACCTTCCTCTCCCCTTTCTCTCTCTCCCCTCCTCAACCCCCTTCTCCTTTAAAGTTATTACTTTAATGTTAAGTCAATCTTCTAATTATTTTGAAAGTTCAACATGATCATCACTGCACAGTTCTAGCTGTTCCTCTCTTCAGTCAGTAAAAAACAACAACAACAAAACACCCAAGGAAAGAAGCTGAAACAAGCCAGAGTTCAATTCTTATTTCTTTTCACACAAGTGTTAGCAAAACAATTAATTAATGCACAAGCTCCTTAACTCAAGGGTCTGCATTCAAAAAACCACAGATAACCGACTTTGATGGTCCCAGCTTCAGTTCCAGTGGGTGTTTAACCACATCCCACAGATCAATGCAGCTTCAGTGGATGGATTCTCCTCCAAGGGAGCCAAGCATGGGATACATCACTGCCAAAATGGACATATATGAAAAATAGAAAAGTACATCCCTGAACTCATCTGCATGAGTAAATCACCTTTTTTCTTCATTCACCTGAATAAAGCACCACCCAGTCGCTGGAAACAATAAATTGTTTCCAATTTATGGTGGTGGGGTAATTGTTTACTAACCATTCTATAAGAAAAAGGTGCAGAGATTTCAGAACTTCCCTGATAGTAATGCATCTGATTTCCTATTTTACACCAGCTTCAAGACCATACAATATGACTTACTCTGGACTTTTTCACCAATGACAAGCAAGACCCACCACTGTACTACTGCATCCTTGGCCTTTTGTAAACATATATGTTCACTAGAGCCCATCCTGTAGATTTTTTTTGAATCAGACTTAAAAATCAGTGCTGTAAATTATACTCTTAAAAAAAAAAAAAAACCAACATAGAAAAGGTGTGACTTGAATGCACAAGAATTTTTTGAATGAATAGAGCCCTTAATATTTAGTTTTGCCTAATGAAGTAAGGCATGAATGTAAAAGGATTAGTATTCCCGTAACATTCAATTCACACACACAAAGTGTAATTCATGGAACCTGGCTTTAATTTTTTCACATATAAATAATTAATGCTGCATTTAAAGTATGTTAAAATGTTTTATTTCTTAATCAGCTAATTTGACTGAGAAACAAAGATGCCTTTATTTTCATTTTCCTTGACTAGAGTTACTGTAGTAAAACGTCCCCTCTAGCTTTTGGCTTTTGACTCTCAAGTTTGCTGCTGCCAATTAGTTTTCTAAAGTCACTATTTTGCAAAATGTTTCTCAGATTTTAAAAAATGTAATTGAATGTCTGTACATCAGAGAGTTTCTTGTGTGCAGACACGGGGTGTTAAACATTCTTTGGGTTGACTTGGGTCAGCTTTAAAAAAATCTCAGACACTGAAACTTGAGAAGCAGTCGTGTGCTAGTGTTTTCGCCACATCCTGTTAAGTATTAAGTGGTTATTTAAAATAGAGTTGTTATACTCAGCAACTGACTTAAAGTGCTTGATATAGTTTACAAGACGATTAATTAAATGAGAGCATAGCATGTGATGCACATGTATTTCCATAATCATTCACATTGGCCTATAGTTGCCCTTTAATTTTCATACTAATTAAAGTAACACATTGAACTGCAAATTGTAAATGGCTGCATTTCTCAGTAGATGTTAACACTGATGTAAGCTGAATGGCAAATAAAAAACCTCAAGATTTAAGCAGAGTGTTTTTTGATTCTGATCTATTCAAGTTTCCCTACTCATTCTATTATTGGACCGTGTCCACATTTTAACAAGACTGCATTTTTTTGCTATGTTTTCAGCCCCATATTTTTCTGAGGTATAATGTGTGTGTTTTTTTTGTATTGTGGTGTCTGGTTAATTGGTTTCCATCTGATACAATAGAGCAGTTATGCAGGGTTTGCTGTTACAGATTAGTTTTTTTAAGTGATGGTGGGGCTAAGGTTTGTAATCTGATGGGCAGAAAAAAAGAAAACTTAGTTCACCAGTAGTTTTACCTCTTACTTACATCTGAGCCATTATCCTCCTTGGTTGTTGCTCAAATCTTGACATGGCTGACTTGGAACTTGAAATGCAAACTGGAGGGCTGCACTTTCAGGTTGCATCAAGGAAGGGGGAAGTTACTCCTTAGGACATTTACTGGGACTTGGAAAAAAGAAGAAACAGATAGGAACAATTATCCCGTGGCTCACACAGCTGCTGGCACTTTGACTTGACACATGCTCTGATGGGGACCACTGCATCCACCTCAAGCAGTAGCTAGCATGTAATGGACATATGGTAATTGCTATTGAATGAGAAGTAACCTTGGATTATAGGCATCCTTTAAAAGAAATCCTTGACAAAAAAGCTCTCTGTCAGGGCCAACAGCTCAAAAATTAACAACTAATCACTGCTTTCAGTGTGTCCTCCATCTAATTGCTTCCATGATGAGGGAGGGTTTTTTTCCTTTCAGAAATGAGCATTATAAAAGATTTCTTTTTAATTTAAAATGAAAAATTCCTTCACTCCCAGGTGACCTATCCAAGAGAAATAATAATAAGCACTCGATTGCTCAGAGAACATCAGCTCTCGCACATATTACAAGGCTGAGTGTTCATGCTCCCTTCCACCCCACCCTGCTCCCTTCCCACAGCGTGTCCTATCTCCAGATCCTAACTTGGCTTGGCCCAAGACGTTATTTGTTAAAATTAACTTTCAGATCAGGCTGGAGTCAGTGTACTTGGCAAGGAGGAGAGGAAGCAAGACTGTAGGGGAGGGAATAGCTTCAGGAGGCAAAGAGGGAAGCCCAAGCAGGGTTTTGGGGAGCAGAACAGGCCACAGCAGCACAGCAGCAGGACACAGAACTGAAGCCAATTTTGCCCCCAGTTTTTTCACTGCCACCTTGAGCATTATGCTGTCCCCAAGTCCCTTGTTGAGGGCCACACAAAGGTTTCTCCTCCACCTGCCCCCAGCCCCCTGGGCTGCAGCCAGGCAGGGCTGAGCTCCTGCTCCTGCCTTGGTGGGGACACTCAACATGACTGTTCCCAAGACATTCTTTGTTTCAGCAAAATTCTCCTGAAGTTCAGCTGTGGGCAATGCTGAACAGTCACGCGTTGCAAAATGAATGGAGTCACGCTGAGGGAAGACTGATAGACAATGGTAATAATGCAAGACCTTTTTTTCCCCTCATAAACCAAATTTCCCATACATTTCTGGAAGATTAATTTAGATTTAGGGAGGTTTCAACTGAGATACTGGAAAAAAGACTTGAAATGCAAGGTTGATTTCTACCTGACCTTAACTACTACATCAACTACCACTGCTCCAGTACATTTATATATAAAATGGTCTTGCACTTCAGCTTAATTACTTAAGGACTCTACAAAAGAAAGCCTTTAAAATGTTTTAATTGCAAATTTAGTCTTTCTGAGTACACAGCAGTGCTATCATCCCTTGAATAATTAACCACATATTTAGAGAAAAAAATAAAATAACTCTCAGCTACATGGACACAGTCCTGCTTGTCTTAAGTAGATGATGCATGTAAATATGTGCACTACAGAATTAAGTAGTAATTTCAGTTTGCTGGATTTTGTCTTTCCTTTGAGACTGGTGTAAATGTAACATTAGATTTATTTTCAAGTTTATCCTCTATTGTAAGAAGGAAGGGATTGTAGAGTGGGGGGCAATATCCTAAAAGAAAAAGCTTATGAAGCTTTCTGAATCCTGTGGTACAAAAGGACTGCTATGTTTCCAAGTGGGAGGTTCAGTTGACTCTTCCACTTGGGCAAAAATCTCCTCTCCTCCTCTCTCATTCCTCTAACCTTCATTTGCACTCACCTACTAAATACAGCACGGACTTTCTCCTCCTCTGTTGCAGCCTGCAGATTGCCTCTGATGGGACCCTGTTGGTGAGGTGCAAGTGGGTGGTACCAGCTCCTGGCACGGCAGTTTGCTGTGCTGGCACTGCAGCCCCAGTGGGACCACAGAGCAACACATAATAAAAGCAGAGCTGAGCAGAGATTTTTCAGCTCAGCAGCATGCTGGCCATCCAGCAAGGGTGCTTACATAAAAGCCAAGGGCCTGGGAAGTCTTTCATCTTTCCAGAATCAGACCCCTTTTTTACACACGCTCATGACAGCTGGTTATGATGAACAAATTAAAACTAATTTAAAAGTTACTCTTGGGCACAATTGTCAGGCTTTCATTCAGGAAACTCTCTAAACAAGCACTTAAGTTTAAGCAGGTGCCTAAATCCCACCGAACACGGCAGGGTTTATACACCTGTTTTAGTGCTTTCCTGGGCAGGGACAGCCCTCAGCAAGCATTATATTCATCTCACGAGTCCCAAAGTCCAGGTGTCATATTCTCATCCAGGTTTAATTGTTAGTGCCCAGGCAGCATTGGGATAACACCACTCCTAACTGGATTTTGATTTTAGTGCACATCCTGCTGTACTACAAACCTGCCACGGCCCCACAGGCAGCTCTCCTGCTAATGAGCTGCAGCACAGAAATCTGAGCATGAGAGCCATCTAAGAAGGTTCATACAAACTGCCACTGTGGATGGCAATGCTGTTCTTTCAAGCCACGAATAGTGCATTGAGCCATTCCTTGAAGTTGCAGCTGGGACTTTTCCTCCCATTTTATTCTTCTGAAGACCATCATTGCAATCAGCAGGGATAGCACTGGGAGCGCCAGAAGTCCTCTCCTACCAGAGAAGCAGAGTGTGGTGAGGGTGCACATTCATGGTAATCTCCTTTTTACAATGTACAGATGAGCCTGCTCAGTGGCAAAATTAGCATGCTGGGAACAGCTCTACTCACCCTAGAGTAGCAAGCTGCAGAGCTGGTGGGAGGAGAAGGGAAAGGAAAACAGGAGTTTGGCAATATGACAAGTACTGTGAAGTATTTTTTTGTGCATTAACACCGACCTAGGCAAGACACAAAGTTGAAAAGTAGCAAGCATTTTCAATGAAAACCCCACCACATTTCCTAAACTTTGAGTGATTCTTGTTACTTAATTGAAAAACAAACCCTGAATTTTCATTTCTCTTTCTCTCTCTCCACGCTGGCAAGAGGAGGATGGGAAAGGAAACAGAGAAAGAAAGGGTCACCACTAAGCTTACTAAGGTCTTTCCTTTTGATACTGTGACTTGTTTTGGTTATTTTTTCATTACTTATTTTCACTGAAGTAGAAGGTCTCCAGGAAAGTATTTGCTTCAGTTAAAATCAAAATTAAATCTGACCTATCACTGAGGGGAAAAAACCAACTGAATCTAAAGAAGACAAACTCTGTATCAGTGTGCTCACATATTAAAGGGGGCATGCGCTAGTCAAATTGCACTGACAGACCAGCATAGGTCAGATCTGTGGAAAAAAAAAAAAAGGATTTTTAACAATCTTTCAGCCCTCTCTTTATTAGACCTTAATTAAATCAATGGGTCAAAGCTACAGAGGGAAAAAATGGTTCAGCTAGGGGACACTAGTCAACCCCTTTCAGTAGACTGAAAAATATCTTAAGCAAGAAGTAAGCTTTAAATCAACATCTGCCTCATGTAACACATAAACATAGACATTACTGCTTAAGAAAAGAAGTATTTGTAGGACCCTTTATTAAAAATAAAAAACATGTATAAAAGAAAATATTGCTCATAACCACTAGGTACATCAGTGGGTATACCTGAATACCAGGCGAATCCTTTGGGGTTTGGTTGAACAGCATCCTTACACATGTTGTGAATTTTAGGGAACGCAGAGCTGAACTGAGCAGCAGCTCCTGAGTCATCGGTCGGTGCTCTTGCAATCAGACAATGATATGGCTGTGTTGACCATCAGACCTCTGAGTAGCAACTGAACCATTTAACTTGATTAATACCAAGTCTGGACTTGCCCTTTTTTTATCCCCACAAATTTTGGCTAGAAACCTGAACACTGTCTAAGACCCCACTCATATGCATGACAGAAGGGAGAAATTCAGTTACATCAATGCAACCTCAGTAGCATTAGGAAAACAAAAAGGCTTCATCCCTGTTACTGAGAAATTGGTGCTTGAGCCACCATGGCCAACATGACTGACAGAGTGAATGCTGGCAATGCTCAGCAACAGAGTCTGGTCTCCAAACTAGCATGTAAACCCCTGCAAGAGCTGTACTGCAAACAGACAATGCAGAGAACATCCTAAAAGAAAATGGCTAAGATCAGCATTCTGCCTTGAAGACAAAAATGATTATTTTTGAGGATATTCAGCACAAAAACACATTTCCTGATCTCCACAGAATATCTACAGTGTGCTTGCACTGCAGGAGCCAAGCCAAGTGGTGAGACTGAGCCAGCATGCAGCATGGCTGTATCCCTCTGTCCCAGCACAAACCCAGGGGAAGGAAATATGACTCAGAGCTGGAGGATTTTCCCCTACTCACTCCTGGATGGGGAAACTGAATTCCCACGTGCCTGGGTTGTGGCTAGGGTTGAGGAACGCCCCCCTGGTTCTCATCCCTCTGCTAGGTTTTGGGCAGATTGAGTCATCTTGAATACATTTCTTGTCTGGATTCAGGAAGCTTCTGTTATGGCCCCACAAAAGACAAGATAGATTTTGCCATCTTGATCTATGCTGCATTAAGAGATAATCTCATAGTCTAAAGATGAAGTAGTAGTTTTAACCGAAGTATAACAAACAGTAATGAATTAAGTCTGATTTGCAACACTTAACTATTAAATAATATAATACTTCAAATTAGCTTAAAATTGCAAGTCTGCTGGTTCAGATTTTATTGGTAATAGCTGAGTAGGTAACATTACTAAGGGAATCACTTTTTACCTGAAGAGTGTTTGGACGCACACTCCCTGTACCATTTAGCCAAGGAGAATGGTGATTTCTCCAAACATGACTGGCTCTGTGCAGTTTTCATGACAGGCTGCATCCAAAAACTACCACCAAGTTGCTATATAATATCTTGCTTATTATAATAATTATTCGTCTCTACTGCTTAAACCACTGTTGCATGAGAAAGTTAATATTTCCAAGGTTCTGGGTGGAATACCTTTCCCAGAAAACACGCTCTCAACAGGAAACCCAAACACAGTGCTAGAGAGTTATCTTAAGCAGATTTAAATAATTAAATCCAAAATTCTCAAACCACTTGCTGTTTCAAATTTATTTCTTTAATAACATGCTTGTTTCAGCAACACACTGGATTAGGGTTTCATTTATTTAAAATTTAAGGTCTGTCCCACTCTGAGTGTTATTTTAAGTATTTAGGGGAATTTTGTGCTTGTGAAAATGAAGAGATTGTTGCATTATAAATTCATTTCCTCTGTTATTGCACAGGCCATGCACAGTGCAGCTGTGAAAGCGCTGTAAGAGCCCCGGCAATGTCCTCAAGCTCAAAGTAGATGGTCGAGCCTTTGTTTTTGCACAAAGAGGAGCCGGTCCTTTCTTATGTCATCAGCTAGAGGTACTTCCTAAACAGCATTGCTGACTCTGAGCAGCCGTGCTGAACGAAGAGAAGGCGTTCAGTGACAGCGATGACTATCCACGTTCCCCAAGGGCCATTTTTGTGTGGGGCTTGCAAGAGAAGTTGAGCCCAGTGCCCATAGCCCTGCACCAACCAGTGCAAGCAGCTCCTGTAGCAGGTGTTGCCTCCTAAGGAAGGGCTCGGTGGCGGTTGCCATCCACACCAGCAATTTTACAAACAAGCAAGTTTCTTATGTGTTCTCCATCACCTCCAGGCATTCATATTCTTTTTAAGTACAGGAACATTAATTAGATTTTGACCACAGACCCCAGATTTGACTTACGCTGACAGGGTTTCCATTAGTGTAATCTGTAGGGGAATTCACTGTTTCAACATCTGTGTGCCTAAGGCCTATCTCACATTTACTGCCGCTGCCTGAAAAGCCTCCCTTGTACGGCTGTGTGTTTCTTCATGCTCCCAATTTCACAGAAGTCATTTCAGCACCAAACGGTAATTAGCAAAGGGATGGGCCTCGGCTGACATGAATGCAATTTATTGTTTTCCACAAGGCCCTGAACAGAGCAAACAAAGAACGCAGTCTTGCTGTCTGGCATTTTATTAACTTGTATTGTGCGATGTACCTTACTGAAGGGAGATCTCCCACTAAATGCAGCAGTGAGGAACCAGTAACATGCGTGCTTTTGAAGAATATTAATTTTGGTTCAATTAGGCAAGTTTTGTGGGACCTCAGCCTCTAAAATAGGACAGCCGCTTTTATAATTATCTTCTGTATTAACTTTATCACCACCCGACTTTTTACATAAATGCAACCTTTCATCTTTAAAATGCCAACACTTCTTCAATTTTGGCAACCGTACAGCATTGCTAATTATTTGCTCATTATGTGTGGTTAACTGATGAATCATTAATAAATGAATGAATGGCTAATATATTTTTATGGTAATTGGAGATATAACTGATTGCAGACTTCCTTTGCTTCTCAGAACTGCCCTGAATGAGCAGTAGCTGCCTAATTGTTTACAGACGATATTTATGCCACTGACGAGCTCTTCCTATAGCCTTGGTGTCTGAGAGGTGAGCCCTCCCTGTGCCCCACGGTGGGCATGGCGGGGTGATGCTCTCCCTCCCCCACAGGCACAGCAGATGGGCAGGCACACACATTTTGGACACGTTTCCCAGCAGCTCCCCACAATGGCCAGGAGCAGGACTACTGACACCATCCCAGTTACCGCCGGCATTCCTCAGTAACACCAGACCCTGACATGGAAATGATACCTCTCTGCAAGCACCCTCCCGCAGTCTGGGAGTCTGCAGTGAGTACCATGGATAGGAAAGGGAAATCAGGCTCCAGTGACATTTTGTTTAACTCCATACTGTGCATTACAGTAAATGGCTTACACAACCTCTTGCTGCCAGTGCACAGTTAATGAATTCAGAGATAATTGCAGGGTTGATTTCTTTCTTTCTGCTTTTTTTTTTTTTTAATAACCTATCTTTCCATAAATCATTCTATAGGGTGCACAGCTCCAAAACACATAATTTAAATCTGCTTGACAATTCAAATCAAAAACAAAAGAAATAAGATGTCCAAACAAGGCTCCTTTAGCTATGCACATGCATCCTGAAGATCAAGTTAAAAATGCAAAGGAGATTACCAATTCTTAATTATAATTATTTAACCAGGTGGGTAGTTTCTCTAATGAACATTTCTATGAAAACAGAATAACTAATGATGGGCTTAAAGAAGTCTTTGTCTTCCCATGTACTAATGATCACATTTATAAATATGCAGGAAGGCCCCCATGTACATTGCTAATGATAAGTAATTAAGCACCAGGCGTCAAAAGCTATAGAAAAGGGTCAGGGTAATGCAAGAGAAAATTAAAAATGCAATAAAATAAGTTGTGGAGCAAAATTAAATTTCTGGCTTCTGCAGACCTGGCTATAAAGAAATCTTTTCCCTTTTAGTATAAACCATGGCTGCTGTGGGGTATCCAAACAAAATCTTCTAAGCACTTTCATTAGATTTTACTTGCCTCTGTACTTGTACTCATATTAAAACCAAGTGAACCACCACCCATTTAAAACAGACGCTATATTCAGTAAAGCTGCAGTTTCTCTCAATGTTTATGAGAAATCACTGTGGCTGAGATTATAACTATCACCAGCCCCCTCGGAAGCATTTCAGAAGTTCTGATGAAAGAAAACAGGGATGTGT